TATTACGTTTCTAAGGATTAAAATCTGAAATTCAATTATAATTAAAAAGAAAATAATTAAAGTTTAAAAAGTTCTTGGAATTAATTTAAATTTTTAAGGAATTTTTACTTAAAATTAAGATTTCTAGATTACAATTCTGTAAGGATTGGATACTGGGAAGATCCATAATCTAAGCTCTTGTCCAGTTGTATGTCCGTCCAAAAATGTTCGGAACCTCAAGCACTTATCCCGTCAGATATAACTTCCTGCTAGATTTAGAAAATATCTGTGAAGGGTTTCATGAAAGCAGAACGCTGAACATCCTGGGTGGTCCAATAAGAATTCACGGATATAAACAAATGATTTTAAAGGTCCTATCAAATGTCGATGAAGATAATATTTATTGCTTCTTAAACATTTTGATCCACAATATGATTAGAAATTGACTCCAATAGTCCTAATTATGACTTTATCGAACCAATATAAAATGTGAAATGAAACCCATCTCTTTATAGATGTTTAAATCATAAGCATGGAAAAATACTTAATAATCTCTAAAATTTTTAATTTCAGTTTTTTTTTTAATTTTTATATTTCTTAAATAAAACATCAGGCACTAATCATTTTCCCCATCAATTTACAGAATATTTAAACATAATTTAATTAATTCCACTTCTGACATTTTCATGTTCTATTAACACTTTGCAAATAATTTCACTTTCATGTTTTAACACAATTTTTAATAAACGACAAATTGTTTCAATCATAACCCATTTACCCGTATTCTATTAACATATACGTTGACAAATATGGTGTCTGAGCAATACTCGACATTCATACAAATATATTTCAAAGAAATTATTGGGCAATCAAGAATTATAATGCATGCTACTATGTATATATTTGAAAAGTGTTACAACTATGTATGTATGTATATACTAGTGTGTATTATACATACATGAATTTATTTATATACATCAACAAAAATATCTGTTAGTGAGAAATCTGTAGCTTTCTTAGCTTGTTCCTATTTATACCCTACACCACTTTAGTGGGGAGGGTATATTGGGTTTGTGCTGATGTTTGTAACTCACAAAAATATTTGTCCTATACCCAGAATCATTTTCTGAGTCGATTTAGCTATGTCCGTCCGTCCGTCTGTCCGTCCATGTAAACCTTGTAATCAGACTGCAGGTCGCAATTTTGAAGATAATTCAATGAAATTTGGTACATGATATTCTATTGCCCCAGGGACGAAGCCTATTGATCGGTTAAGATCGGTCCATTATTTCACCTGGCCCCCATACAACTGTACCCCCGAATAGGGCTTGTAAACATTGTAATCAAACTACAGGTCGCAATTTTGCAGATAATTCAATGAAATTTGCACATGATCTTCTATTGTACCGTAGACGAAGCCTATTAAAAATGGTTAACATCGGTCCATTATTTCACCTAGCCCCCATACAACTGAACCCCCGAATAGAGCTTGTAAGCCTTGTAATCACACTACAAGTCGCAATTTTGGAGATAATCTAATGAAATTTGACACATGATCTTTTATGGTACTGTAGACGAAGCCTATTGAAAATAGTTAACATCGGTCCATTATTTCATCTAGGCCCCATACAACTGAAGCCGCCAAATAGGGCTTTTAAGTTCATAATTATGTTTAATATACTCGTATCTCGACAAAAAGCTGCAAAACCAAGTTCTATACTAGCCTTGATGACCCTGATGAACTTTATAATTATAATTAAAAGGAATGAAAATCTTGATATCAGTTTGGGTCTCAAAAATTCCATCATTTTGAAAAAAATAGTTTTTTATATAGTATTTAGTACATTTATACGCATAGTTTGAAAGGTATTCCTTCAAAAAAGTGGTCAACGGGACATCCTAATGTACATATATGGGTAGTTGGGTCAATTATGGACCGATTGTCGTAAAATTTTATAAAAAGCTTCGGATCGTTTCGAATCTCATCGCTCTACTTGTATTTTTAATTCAGTCATGAGCGTAAAAGAAACTTTCTGAAAGGGATCTTATATGCCGGGTAGGGTCAGTTTTAAATCAATCCTCATCAAATTCGGAATAATTTTGTTGCTAAGTATAAACATTTTTAAAGAAAGATTTTCGTTACTATAAATATTTCTTATATAAAATGTCATAACTGTAAACGTATTTGCAAGCCAGCATATATCGTTAAAGTAATTTTCTAAAGGGGACCGATCCTATGGTCAATTATGGACCGATCTTCATTAAATTTGGTTAAGAGATTTTTGCGTACTTGAGTCGAATTTCTTCGCTATATTCGTACTTTTAAGCCAGTAATGAACGTTAAAGTAATTTTCTGAAGGGGACCTTATATGGGGGGTAGGATCAATTATAGAGCGATCCATATAAAATTTGGTAAACAGATTTTGGAAATCATGAAACTTATGTGTGTGTCGATTTTCATTGCTATATTCGTATTGTTAAGCCAATAATGGGCATTATAGTCATTTGCTGAAGGGGACCTTATATGGCGGGGATAGGGTCAATTATGGACCGATACACACAAAATTTTATAGCAAGGTTTTGGATCGTAAGAAACTAGATTATGTCAAATTTCTTTGCTATACTAGTATATTTACGCCAATAATGAGCGTTAAAGTAATTTTCTGGAGGGGACCTTGCATGAGGGGTAGGGTCAATTATGGACCGATACACATAAAATTCAATAGGGGGTTTTTTGCTCAAATGAAACTTATTTATGTCGAATTTCATCGCTATACTCGAACTTTAAAAGCAGATATGCCCGCTAAACTGTTTATATATATATATATATATATATATATATATATATATATATATATATATATATATATATATATATATATATATATATATATATATATATATATATATATTTATATATATACTTTGGTGGGCCTATGACCAATATTTCCAATTCTTTTAGGTAACGACATGGACTCCAAGGCAAGCATGAGCACGAGTCCCTAAGAAAGAGTTCTGCGGAGGTGTGGTGCTCTAGATATTGGCATTACATTCTAAAGAACGTAATGTAAAGTTTTCCTCGTCCCTGGGACGGCAGTAAGCTAGTACTGGTGAAAAAAATTGCAGAACTCCTTCTCATGCACTCTATTGTTTTTTTTTCCTTGGAAGCGATTGTGTAGATCACAATCTTATTGTACCTATCAGAACTCCAAGACCAGCCTTGACAATAACATAATTATGGTTCTAAAGATGTCATCTCAAAATTGGAAAGATGCCCATTGAATTCACTGCTAGCCAGTTCCTGTAGAATACCACCATTTATAGCAGTCTGCTATTAGCAGAGTACTATCTTTGAACCGGAAATTCTAGTCAGTAAATGGGTAAATGGGTTTGGGCCCATTTGTAAAAAAAACTCGTTAGAAAGAAATATAAAAGTCCTGAAACTATTTTAAATAACTTATTACTTGCCTTATAACAGATATGTCAAGGCTCAAATAAATAGTACGACATCAATGCAATACGAAATAAATCTATTTTTGGAACAACGACCTTGTGTTTTACATGTAAACAGATTTGCCTACACTATCTTTGTGTAATACAAATCGATTTTTATATTAAGTATAGCGACCGTAAGGTGTCTGCTGAACACTGAAACACGTTCATATACATATGTATGTATAATAATTTATGTATGTATATATATGTGTAAGTCTGAAAACGGTTAGGAATTTAAAAAAGCTAAAAATATTAATAAAAAAATTAAAATAAATGTTTTAACTACATAAAGTAATGAAAGTTGTATAACAAATATGGTTAAAAAGAATAAATGAAAGAAGGTGGCGGTCGAAGAGGAGGAAATTATGGATTTGCCAACATGAATTACGATCGAATAACGTGTCTGGTTGTCTACTAATTTTACCAAAAAACCTAAAACGGATATTAAAATTTGAATTTACTTGGTAAATATTGTTAAATATTTGTTGTAAAATTCTTTTACGAAATAAAAACAAATTTTTGGTTATTTTTATCAAGTTAGGAGGGGGAGGAGGTGAAAGAGAAAAAGTTTTTTTGTTTTAATTTTTGGCACCTATAACAAAAACAAATTAAAATGAAATTTTTTAACGTTCAAATATGAAATTGTTGTTTAGTTGCAGTTTGGCAGAGTGTCTTTTACGTATGAATATATGTATGTATGTATGTCTGTCTGTCCGTCTGTCTTTAAACATATTTATGTGTATTTGTTTTATTTACTATATTTTAGTTTATTGTGTTTATTATTGTCACTTGTAATTGAACATCGTAAGAGTATTGAGTTTTGCATACTAATTAATACTTTAACAATGGACACAATAACAAAAACCTCAACATTGTAAAATCAAAAGTTGAATTGAATGAATAGCGGTTCATAGTGGAAAAAGTCGACATTCAACGCATGCGTGAGAGTGTTTTTGCTTTGCCTTTTTTTGGATTGAAATGCAATTGCTGGGGAGGGAAGTTGTCGTAAAACATTGTCGGTTGGTCGATCGTTGGTTATGATGAAATCGATTGATTTGAATTGGCTTGCTTACTTAGTTAGTTGGTTGGTAGTAATTTCAATATTTGGCATACAATTGAGTTTAGGTACGAAAGAAAGCTTACTACAGTTTAGGCCATTACCAAAAATTAGTTTTTTTTTTTTTTTTTTGTTATTAAATTTTAAAAATTATTAATTTTTATAGAAATTGTTGTTGTTGATCATAATACTCCCAATATGAACACAAAATAATACTACAGACTAGACTCTATTAACTATAGAGTCAAATATACTGAGACTTGGGTCATTCATTTTGTGATAGGAAAATAAGTATTTGTAATTTCCCGTATGGTCTTTTTGGTTTTGACGCTCTTGAGCAAAGTGTACTAACAGTTGTTGTTATTGTTTTCGCTTCTTTTAGGTCGTTTTGTGTGCATGGGGTATGTGGTGGCGTTTTATTGTATGGGGGAGCGGCAGTATAAAATCATCAGTATTTGTTGAAATTGATATCATTGTTTTCATATCAATTCCATTGTGAACACCAGTAGCACAATACAGTTTAAGGAATAAACCTGGTTTTATAATTAATTAAACTAAAAAATATTTGTTAAAAATGGCTTTTCGTTTTACATCCTTTTTGGCCGTAGGCTGTTTATTGCTGGCCGCTTCTGCTCCCCTCAATGCTGCCGCCATTGATAACTCTGTGGCCGAGCCACGCATTCACACCTCCGACGAACTCATCTCGAATATTGTGGATAATTGTTTCAATAGCAATGCCATGCATTGCTTGAAGGAGAAGGTATTGACCTATTTGGATACTGTTACCGGTGTTGAAGAAGATGTTAGCGGCCGTGCCTTCAATGATGATGTTATCGACAAAGTTATTACCGATCGTGTTGCCCGCATCTTGAACACCAATGAAATCCGTGTAACATTGCCCGAAACTGTATTCGCCAACTCCGTATTGTCCTACCGTGCTGATCGTGGTTTCGATTTGGAAATTCCCCAATCTGAAGGTGAGTTAAAATTAAGACAATGATTTTAAGTCTTACTCTCTAACTTTTACTTTTTCTCTTTTTAAGCCCGTGGTGATAAGAAGAAGGACAAACTCTTCTTGCCCTTGTTGTTGCTCATGAAACTCAAATTGAAGGTTGTTATGCCCATCTTAATGTCTTTGATTGGACTTAAAGCTTTCAAGGCTTTGATCTTGTCTAAAATCGCTATTAAATTGGTTTTGGGTTTCCTCATCTACAATTTGATCCAAAAATTGGGCGGTATGAAAATGACCATGATGCCAATGATGCCACCCATGCCCGCTGCTGAATACGGTGTACCCAGCTCTACTGCCTCCTCTTACGATCCCAGCAGCTGGGAACCCATGAGCGGCGGTCCTTATGCCCGTTCTGATGCCCAATACATGGCCTACAGTTCTTATCATCCCAGCAGCAGCTCTTCCTACTCTGGCTCCAGCAGCACTGGTTCTTCCGGCAGCTACAGCAGCTCCTCTTAAATATCCTCCTCCCTCTATCATCACCTACCCTACAACATATCAAGTGGGAAAGCGAAGGTTAGAGTTTTATCGTAAATCTCTATCCAGCTTTCTTTTCTTTTAGTTTAATCACTAAGTGGTTGAAAAGAAAACACTTTGTGCCCTTACGATAGTTAAACAAACCAGGACAATTCTAGAAACCAAAACGTGCTCAGCAAGGACATTCAAAATTCTGAGAAAAAAGTAGTAACATTTAAATGCTTATTTATTTTTTTCATTAGTTGTTAAAAAAAAAGAAAAAATTAATTTAATTATTTATATATTTTCACCTCAAATCTCTTTGAAAAGGAGAGGCCATACAAGTCATTATTTTCAGTTTTTCTAGTCTACCCCTTTACCAAAATCCTTTCTTTTATTCTCTTCTATACTATTCTATCTTTTTTCTATCTATTTCTTTCTCTTTTTATTTCTATCTCTAAGACTATCTTTCTGTATTCTATTCTTTACGATTTCCTTTTTCTAATTTTATTTCATCGCGACCAAATGACATCCCAAAAACCAAAAAAAAAATCAAAAACAAAGTTAAGTTAATATTTATTTAATTTATTAAAAATGCAATTAAAAAATAATAAAAAAAAAAACAAATAATAAATACGAAATATTTAAAAAAATATCTTTGTCTTTTTATTCAATTTATTTTAAAACAAAAAAATAAAGTTTTATTTAAAAGCTCCTATCCAAAATCAAAAACTTTACTTTAAACCGGATATAGCTCAAATCAAAAAGCTATTGGTAAAAATATTATTTATAAAGTCCAACTTAATATCAAGTTGCTATAATACAAAATTCAAAGCTTTATTATAAGCTTAAACTAAAATTGAGATAATTATGCAGATAAATACCTTTATAGTTGTCATTTATATATTAAAACTGAGATTTTAATCAATTAAGATTTCAGTCAATATTTAACATTTAAACAATAAAGATCTCATACAAATTAATATAAACAATAATAAAACAGCTATTGCATAAAAAACAAGAAACTGTAATAAAACATGACCTTTAAAGTGGTATTAGTATTATGCCTACTTGGCTTGGTCGCCGTTAAGGCAAAAGATTCGGAAATTACCAAATTCATGAAACATTTAGAAGTTATACCTGATGTTATTGAGGAAGGACCAAAAGATTTTCTTAAGGTATGAGTTTATACAAAGTTTGAAAGTTGTTTGAAACTAATAGAAATATTACTTGCAGATTACTTATGATAATGGCATACAGGCCGATAAGGGTGTTGAGTTAACACCCACCCAAGTGAAAAATCAACCAAAAATTGAATGGCAAGCAGAGGCAGGCACCTATTACACATTAATTATGACCGATCCTGATGCTCCTTCACGTAAAGAACCCACTATTCGTGAATGGCATCACTGGTTAGTGGGCAATATACCCGGTGATAATTTGAGTAAAGGTGAGGTTTTATCCGAATATGTGGGCTCGGGACCACCAAAAGATTCTGGTTTGCACCGTTATACATTTTTGTTGTTCAAACAACCCAAAAAATTGGAATTTGATGAGAAACATTTAACAAAAACCCAAGCAGCTGGACGAGAGAAATTCTCTACTAAGAATTTTATTAAGAAATATAATTTGGGAGCACCGATCGCGGGCAATTTCTATCAGGCCCAATATGATGACTACGTTTTGGAATTGTACAAACAATTGGGTCTTTAAATGACTTGTTTTGTGAAAATTCGTTTTCGTAATCCCATGTATTTATTATAAGTCTTCACAAATTAAACTAGTTTTTTTGTTTTTTTTAATAGTTGACACCATCTTTGCACCAACAAACAACCGGTAGATTAAAATTTATTGTAATGTTAATAAATCTTATGATTAACAGAAAAAAAAAACAAATCAATAAACAAAAAAATAAATACCAACAACTTTAAGTTGTGCATAAAACCAAACCCGAAAGAAACAAATTTTATTAAATAAATAAATATATTTAAATTTAAACAATTTATCTTGTATACAGAGTAGATCTATTATTTGTGTAGACTTGGATATATGTCTTAATGATTTTTTAATGAGTCGAGTAAAAGATGAAAGTAAAAATGGGTCGACATTTGCTTGTTTTTTTATGATTTTTATAATCAAGGTTATTTTTAATATGACAAACATTTATTTGCATACATACACGTTTAAATACTAAATATCCATACTATTCCTTACTAGTTCTTAAAACCAGAGAAGCAAGTTCACATAAAGTTGCTATTAAAGTGGCTAGAAATTAAAGATATTTTTCAATATTACAATTAATTTATGAACATGCTGATATTGGCTATGCAAAAATACACTAGTTGGACATAAATAATTGTTATAAACAAAATATAACTTTATTAATGCGAATATATTATTTTTATTATATCATAAACATTGTTATTATAATTAGCATACGTTAAATAGGAAACTATAACGTTTATTCATATAAATAACAGTTATTTGCAGTCTGGTTTATATCAGTAAGAATATAGAATTAAAACAGTTAAGAAAGTATAATTCGTTGAGCCCGGCTATACAATCCGCTACACCAATATGTTTTGAAAACTGTAGTATGGAAATGTATTTGAAACAGGCTTTGGGGGTAATGACTACATTTTTAATTACAATTAAGTAGTAATTGTAATTGAAGCTTTACCAATTGCAGTTACTTGTAATTGTAATTTATGTTTTGCCAATTACAACTTGTAATTGAAGTTTTGCCAATTACAGTTACTTGCAATTGTAATTGAAGTATTTCCAATTACAATTACTTGTAATTGTGAATTTTGTTCTTTATAATTACATGTAATTTGTAATTAGTAATACCTAAATTACAATTACAAGTAATTTTAATTGGAAACTTCAATTATATTTACAAGTAATTGTAATTGGCAAAACTCTAATTACAATTACAAGTAATTGTTATTGGCTATTTGTAATGGGCAAAACTTCAATTACAATTACAAGTAATTGTTATTGGCTATTTGGTCAATTACACATAACAAGTAATTGTAATTGACTATATAATGAATTCCTTTACGTAGTCATTACCCCCCATGCCTGATTTGAAACAACCCTGTCATAAATCTTAGATTATTAAGATTAGAAAATTAACACTGGAACAGGCCTAAACAGAACCACTTGAGGTTCTTAAAATGGCAACCAAATTCTAAAACCCATTCTGTGATATAGTATTGTGATTCCGAAGTACTTCTTTAGGATTATTCAAGAAACTAGATCTTTGGCACTGCTTCAATGCTTCATACTAATTCCAAAACATATTTGGAACAAATTTGCATTAGTTTACAATTTGCCAATTTTTTGGCATTTGGTTTGGTCCATTTTCGAATTTTCTAGATTATTTTGGAATTTATATGCACTAAATGTCGTTTTGCGGACCAGAAATAATCTAATAAAAATTTAATTTTAATTGTTTTTCGAGTGATAAGCTCAAAAGATTTTCACTAGATGGTAGGGAACTGAGGCCGTTTTTCAAAAAAAATATATATATTTTTCTCGTATCTTTCGATTTGCAAAACTTTAAATTTGGTACATATCTTAAAGGAAATGATCTATGCTATCTTTTGAGCCAAAAATAAAAAAGGGAATAAAATTCAAAACTAATTTTAATTTAAAAAAAAATGTTTTTAAATATTTTTTCCTTAAGATTTAAGAAATAGCTATCTAAAGTATTTGGAACAAATTTTGCTATGAACAATAGGCAATAAGTTACATAATAGAGAAGAAACACATGTTTTGCAAAAATTTAAAACTTTGATTTTAAATTTTTAACTTAGAGAGTTCTCGACCCATCTTGTGTCTAAACTACTGTCTAAAAGGACTAACATTGCTGAAAATTTCTTACCGATCGAAAGACATCGGTTTTAAAAGTTGGGTCACTTGACATGAAATTCCTCATAAGTACTTATCTGCTTACTTCTTCAAGATATCTTAGTCTAAATCTTGAAAATACTAATAAATAAAAAGAGCGATGTCGCCATTATTTTACGGCAAAAACTTCGAAGGACAATATTTAGTCGTAAAATAAATTCGAAATGTGTGTATTTAAAAAATTAGTTTTTCTAAATTAATGGTTGTTTCCGCTTTAGGTTAAGATATCTAAAAGAATGATAAAAATATAACAATTTCGATAGATTTGATTTCGAACGAATTTGTTACGATTTTGGTCAAAAAATTTCATTCCATTTATTTGTTTTTTTCACAAATTAGTTTATAATTGGAAATGCGGCAACTTTTTGTCAAACAAATTTAGCAGTTCATTAATTAATTGAAAAAGAGTAGAAATAGATTTGATGTTAATTACATTAATTAATAGAAAAAACACATTTTTAAATATTTTAAAAGAACGAAATACATTTCGCTCATTTACTACAAGACTGTCACAACTTAAAGCAGATCGTTTTAAGAAAAACGACAAAGAATATTTTACGACGATTTTAATCTACCTACATATTCGTATTAAACAGATGTATGTTTAAAAGAAATGCGTTATTGACTGATTCATCATTATCGCATAACCTAGAATTACAGGTCCACTAAGGAGAGATTTTTAGAATATCGAATATTTTGGTGTATAAAGGAAAAAACGGTAAAAAACCGGTTTTCATAAGTTCTGAAAATGTGTAACAAAATGTAGCAATTGAATTTGAATCTATAAGAGCCTACTTTTTTTCCTCTCATTTGTATTTTCTGTAATTTTGAACCTTGAAACATATAATTTAGCATGTAAGGTATTGTGTGAATTAAAATATCTAAGAAGCAACTTATTGGTTCTATAAATGATACTTTTTTAAATTTCTATAATATTGAACCAAGAAATTTAAAATTTAGCATACATGGCCTTGGTTAATAGGAATCTATAAAAAGAGATATTTAGTACTTTTTCTATTCCACAAGTAATACTTCATTAATTTTTCTTTAAAAGCCACACAAAACACAAATATGTAATAAATTTAAATTTTCTATAAAGTATTTACATATTTTTATCTATATATATAAAATTCTAACGTTACTGGGTGAAAATTGTACCTATTTTTGGTACTTTTTTCATAAAACATTGTTTTTGGTTTATTAACTTATACATATGAATACATAATAACGGGCTCCTAATACGATGTTGCAACTTTATGGAACAGAATTTTTATTTCGTTAATTGGGAGGAAAAAGTACCAAGTGGGTTATAAACGGGAAATTTGATTTTATTCAAACACAACGATCCAATTTATATATAACATTTTTAGATCTATAAACATTAAATATGCTAATGGGGTGTTATTTGGAACACCGGTACCAAGTGATATTTTTTGGTACTTTTTCATTCTCCAACTGGTACTTTTTGAGTTTTCTATGATATTAAAATCGAAACATGAAATTAATAATAAAGGGACTTTTTGGTACTTTTTCATTCTACAAAGGTACTTTTTTGAGTTTTCTTTAAAATTAAACCTAGAAACATGAAATTAAGCATGTAAAGCCCGGAGTAAATAAGAATCTATAAAAGGACACTT